ATGTATGGAACTGGAGAGCATTATGCTAAGCAAAATAAGCCAGTCAGAGAAAGAGAAAAATCACATGATCTCACTCATTTGTGGAATACAATGAACAACATAAACTGATGAACAAGGACTGAGCCAGAGACAGAGAGGCATTGATTGGACTGTCGGGCTTTTGAGGGAGGGTAGGGGAGGGTGGGGGTAAAGGGGAAAGAGCAACCAAAGGACTTACATGCAGGCATATAGGCCTAACCAATGGACACGGACAACAGGGGGGGCGGGCAAGAGTGGGGGGGGAGGTAGAGGGTAACGTGGGGACAAGGACACATATGTAATTTCTTAATCAATAAAAAATATATTAAAAAAAATGTATTAATGAGCTGGCCATAAAGTAAACATAAGTGGTTAATAAACATTAAAAGATGCTTGACCTCGTCCTGGCCAGTGTGGATCAGTTGTTTGGATGTCGTCCTGTGCACTAAAATGTTGGTGGTGCAATTCCTGGTCAGGGCACATGCCTGGCTTGCGGGGTCGATCCCCTGGTGTGCAGGGGGCAGCCAATAAATGTTTGGCTCTCATACCAATGTTTCTCTCTCTCTCTCTCCCCCTTACTCTCTCCAAAAAAATAAATAAAATGAATACATACATGCATACATACATAAGTAAATACATACATAAATTAAAATAAAAAGATGCTTGACCTCATTAGTAATCAAAGAAATGCAAACTAAAACCATAAGAAGACAGCCCTTCCTCCCTCCCACATTGGCAAAAGGTGAAAATATTCTTATAAGGTCAAGTGCTGACAAGGATGTAGAACAAGAACTCTTATGTACCACTGGAAGGACTAAATAAGCACAACTACTTTAAAAAATAATTTTCCATCATCTAATCAAATTGAAATTGCTCATATATATCCCATAGCTCAGCAATTCCAATCAAGATACACACAAAATAGAAACTCTTGTATATGTATACCAGAAGATATAAACAAGGAAGTTCATAACCACATTGTTTGCATAGTGATAATGAAAATTACTTTATCAATAAAATAAGTAAATAATTATATATTTATGCAATGAATAGAACAGTGAAAGAGTGAACCATCTGCACACAGTAACACACAGTAACATGGCTGAAAATCATGAACATAATGCTAAGCAAAAAAGCAAGTCTCAGAAAAATTACTCAATCTACATATGCAGTGGGGCCTTGACTTACGAGTTTAATTCGTTCCAAGACCGAGCTCGTTAAGGAGCTCTAACTCAAATTACTCTATCAACTCAATGCAAAAAATCAGCCAAGAGACAGCTGGTATCTCAAAAAACTCGTTAGTCGGGACACTCGTAAGTCAAGGCCCCACTGTAGTTTAAAATTCCACTTAATACAGAATTCAAAAGTATGTAAAACCAAACAATGTATTGTTTGGAGATATAAATCTACATGTTAAAACCATAAAAATAACAAAGGGGGAAAACAAACTTTTGGAGTAGGAGGTAGTAAGAAGGGGATGATATGAGGAAAGGTGCATAAGGAATTTCAAAGGGTGTCATTTTATTTCTTATATTGGGTGGTGAGTATGTGGGTATTTGCTGTATTGTTATTTTTATATTTTATAAACATTATCTAAACTAGTCTGGCCTGCGGTCAGGGTCAGAGCCATCTTCCCTGGCCTTGGTGGTCAGTGTGTCATAGTGACCAGTCATTCTGCTATTAGGGTCAATTTGCATATTACCCTTTTATTATATAGGATTATTATATAGGATACTATTTTACAACCACTCAATAGTTAATAATTTCAAAACTTTATAGGAAATATGGCTTTACTTATTTGGAATATTAATGTGCCTGCACAACATGACAGGTAAACACATTTTATTTTCCACCAGCGTGAATTCATGACTTAGAAAAGTTTATCCTAAATCTAAAAGCAAGTCACTTTGGTGTCATATCTCTTCACGAAGGTTCATTTTATTTATATCTTATGTATGATTTTTGCATATATGAAATATAGCATAACAATAAAGATAAAAATATTTTAAAGGATTACTCTGCAAAAGAAAAATCTAATGGAATAACATACATTAATTTAATCCATGTGAAATAAAGTACTCAATATATTTTGTTGAAAAGAGAAAATTATAAAGTTAAAATTGTAGATTGTTTTTTTGTTTTTTCCCTTTTAGTGATCTCTAAAATACTCATCTGTGCCAAAAAAACTGAAAATGTCCTATCACCTCATATTTGCTGTGTCTACTCTATAAGTCACAGGAGGAAAATCCTGAGTATCTTGTTCACTATTATGCCACACTATGGGGTACAGATTAGTTACTCAAATAATATTTAATAAATTAGTTGTTTAGAGATTATTTCCAAGACAAAGATTCTATAAGAAATTGCTTCATTAAAAATAATATTTACAAGGGAAATTATTTCAACCAACCTGTACTGACATCAGTTTTCCTTCCAGATTTTCTGCCTTTTTCTTCCATTCAGCTCCAAGCTGTTTGTGCTTTTCTAGTTCAGCAGAATACATGGCTTTTTCCTCTGAAGAGGAAAAAAGTTACATAGTATTTTGCAATTGCGCGATAAAATTAGAATTTTAAACTACTTGAAATTTTAAGAATTCAACAAAAACATTTCATATGTCTCAACAATTACACATGCCTGAGTGATAGTGTTAATGGAATTAAGGTAATGAGATCAGTTTCCTCCGCCTAACTGATTCTCCATCTTGTCCATCTTGCAAACTCTTCCCTCCCTCCAGAACTCCACCCAAATATTTCCTCTTTGGCAAAGCTTTCCTTCCAGCCCCAGTACCATATACTTTGTACACATGTTCAGTTTAGTATTATATAGAGTAGATCTAGAGAAATCTTATATTTAAAATTCAACATTTCAACCATGAGTAACCCTGAAGGTCTACATATGTACAAATTTAAAGTTTGACTTAGGCACAAAACTAGAACTCCTGTTGCTTCATTAGCCTCATATCCCCTAATCACCCACTTGCCCTCACTAGCAGTTAATTCATTGCCAATAATTACTGAATGTATGGATAAACAAATGGATGGGGGAATGATCTAAGGGGGTAAATCTGAGGATGGGAGATAGATGTGAGAAAGCATATTCAGTTATCAGGGTCCAACTGTTCCAGTCACTATTGTGTCTCCAAAAATTATTTTCCACCAGGACTAGAAAACATAAATACCTCAAAGTATAGATGAAGAGCTAAGAACAGGCTCATCAATATTTCAAAGGACAGCAGTTACTGATGATTAACTCTTTGAAGTGGACTCAACCTCCAACCGATATCTCAAAACCTAACCATCTTTTCTACCAGTGCCTCTCTCTTCCTTTGTATTCCCCTTGTTATCAAGTGATCATCCTTTGTTACACTTATAGTTACCCAACACTTACCTTAATAGCTCATGACATGATACTAAAATAAATTTTTAATAATTTCTATATATAGTTTATGTTCTCTAGTCTTAATTATAAAAGCAGTCTAAATTAACTTGTTGATGGCTACTTATCTTCCCCCCTACTAGAGGGTAATCTTTCAAAGATATCCACATCCCCAGGCCTAATCTAAAATGGCACTGAAATAAGCCGTAATTCCCAATAACTACGATAATTTTTCTTCAGTGTGAGGCTAACCATACTACTTACCTTGCTGGAAATGCTCTAGTACCATCTGCAGGTTGGACAGTGACAGAGCATACTGCTTTACTTGCTCCCGAGACACAGAAAGCTGCAGGGCAGTCTCATCCCTTTGCTTGGAGACTACATTCAGTTGTTCCTGCAATGACTCTACCTGCAAATTGGCTTGATGGCTTCAAACAAAAAGAATAAAAGTCAAACTATTTCTATTTAGGTTCTTTACAAGATGAAACATCTTCCGTTCATTTTAGTGGAGTACATGCAAATTAGACTTCATAGTATTTAGATAACTAGATAACATAGTATTTAACAAGATGAAGTCTCCTACTTTTTTTATTATGTTAAAATATACATAATATTTACCATTTTAATCTTTTCTGAGTGTAGAGTTCAGTGGCACTAAGTGCATTCACATTATTGTACAACCATCACCACCATTCATCTCCAGAATTTTTTCATCTTACCAAGCCAAAACACCACACCCATTAAACAACAACTCCCCGTTCCCCCAGCAACCATAATGCTACTTTCTGTCTCTATGAATGTGACCTATATTTTATTGCAATATCAGTGAAATCATACAGTATTTATTTATTTTTTTTTTTTTTGTGACTGGCTTATTTCGAAGTGACTCTAAACGGCAATCATTTTTAAAGACAGCATTGTGTAAACAAGAACTGTCACCATGAGAAAAATTTATAAACAGCAGGCAACTCTATGATGTAATTTATCATAAAATTGTAAGTTCTAAGGGCCCTTGGAAGGCATTCTGTCCAGCTTCCAATCCAATGAGCAATGAATTCTATGACACCCCCATGCTTTTAACATGTGAAACCAAGAAGTCACAGCTTTCCTAAGGTGAGGCCAGAGATTAACTGCTCTGATTACTAGTTAATTATCTTTTACCATCATTTTCTGTGTGTATTAAATAACCCCTACAACTGCCCCAAGTGATTAAATCAGAGTTCCCTAAGAGATTTATATAGCACCTATCCAGGCTATGTCATTGATGTACTTCCTTAATGATTAATTATTACATACAAAATATTGCAATAGTCTTTTCTAGGTTTTTAATACCTAGTTAAATTCTTACTCGAAGCCCATCAAAGTCCATTTAGAGCAGCTACTCTGAAGAAACTTTACCCAGTAGCACCCTCTTGTGGAAAGAGCAGTAAATTGATAAACAGGAGACAACTGCCCTTAAATGTCCCTGAGTTGTGTTCAACTTTGCTAGTTAGAAAATCACTCAAAGATAGTAAAGATTAAATGAGCTGTGGATGTCACTCAAGAGGTTAACAGATCACCACATGTTACTGTTGTTAGGTAGTTTGTAGATTTGAATTACTTATATAAAAATATTTAATGAACATCTACTAAATTATGTGTGAGAATATATGCTTATGGGAAGGGTACAAAACAAATGACATCATTCCTACCCTTGGTAACCTTATGTGCCATTGGGTGGGAGAAAGTGTAAGATGGGTCAACATTACCAGTACCCTAAAGTAAAATAGAAGTGCCCTATCAAATACTCAAATTATTATGCAGGTTCAAAGGAAACAGTATCACACCAGGATTTGGTTTTGGGTTTGAGGAGTGGGGTGAAGAAACAGCATTGATGAAGAAAATGCTATTTGAAGGATAGGTGGGACGGACAGAAAAACTGTTAGGGATCAGGCCCGCTTTTAGTAGAAGAAAGAATATAAACAAAAAAGTAGAAAGAAATAGAAAAATAGTTGTATCTGAAGAACTGAGTGATAAAGTTTGGGTAATGTAGATAATAGTGAGAAATAAGGCTAAAGATTTTGGAAAAAAGACTAACAAGGTCACAGCTCTACTCAATGAAGGTTATTCTGGCAATTATGAAGGGTAAATGAAAGAAAGCAGAGACTAGACTATTTTAATTAGAGAAAACAAGGGCCTGAAAATTTAAAGGAAAGTACCAATTTCATAGTCTGAGGATGTTTTGGCATTTCTGTCTTTGTGAAACACATACACAAATGATCATCCATTATTCTCAATCTCATTTTAAACAAGCTTTCCTTTTGAGCCTGAAGGCATAATAATATACTCTATAATGTGAGGGAGGACTTCATTCTCAGAAGTATTGTCTCTACTGGCCCACAATTTCTTTGCAAACAGATATATTTACTATCTCCTTGTATCTCCTTCAGCATCATACATGGTAAAAAAAAAAGTAAGTTAGAAGATGTGCATATCACCCTGGCTTGTGGGGCTCAGTTAGGTGAGGGCTGTCTCATGTACTAAAAGGTCACTGGGTTGATTCCTAGTCAGGGCACATGCCTGGGCTGGGCTCATATCCCAACAAGGGAAGTGCAGGGGGCAGCCAATAGATGTTTCTCTCTCTTATGGATGTTTCTCTCTCTCTCTCCCTCTTTCTTCCCTTCTCTTTAAAGTCAATCAAAACATATTTAAAAAAATTTTTTTAAAAGATGTGCATATCACTAAATGGAAATATAAATAGACATTATTTTTCTGTAAGATTTTTTGGCAGTACATTTCAAAAGTTTTAAAAAAAAACCATTGAACCAAACTTCCATTTCTAAAAATTTACACCAAGAAAGTAATTTGTCATCAACACAAAAATACCTATCTTGAGATATGATAGCACTTTTAATAATTTTGAAAAGTTGAAACTCTACATGTCCAATAATAAATGACTGGCTTAAAGAAATTATGGCAATCCAAATAATGGTACACTCTGTAGCCATAAATGATATTGCAGAAACACATGGCTTAACATGTATTGATATTCATATTAAGTAAGAGAAGTAGTTTATAAAACAGTATGAATATATAATCTCTAGTTTGCTTTAAAAATATATATAATATGTACACAAATATACAGAATCATAAAAAGGCACACAAAAAAAGATTATTTGAGGGTGGATGGGATTGTGGCTTTATGTTCTTTTGGCTTATGTGGTTTTCCTAAAGTGAAAAATAAAATGTTTTGTTATAAGAGAAAAAAAAAGATATTTTATTGAGAGAAATACCATGATCTCACTCATTAGAATATAACGAACAACATAAACTGATGAACAAAAACAGATCCAGAGACAGAGAAGCATCGATCTAGAGATTGTCAAACCTCAGAGGGAAGGTAGAGGAGGGTGGGGGTAAGGCGGAAGAGATCAACCAAAGGACTGGTATGCATGCATGTAAGCCTAACGAATGGACACAGACACCAGGGGGTGCGGGCATGAGTGGGGGGATAAGGACACATATGTAATACCTTAATCAATAAAGAAAAAAATGTGTGTGTGTGTGCGTGTGTGTGTATATATACATATATATATATATATGGACCTGGTTATTCAAAAGTAAGAATCCAAGAGTTAATTCTTACTGACCCAGGTTAATTCTTCACCTTGTTACTTCCTTTACTCTCTCCTTCTTAGAGCCAAACCTTGTTCAACCTCAGATCATTTGATTAAAAACAAAATCACACAAATTTTATTTAACTAATCCTTTAAGAGCTTGAAAACTAAATGAATCAGTTGGGATTTAAGTCTAAACTCCTAAAATGATGAGAAGCAATTCAATTATCTAGATAATGGTTAAGATTCCAAGAAACCTCACTTTGAATGCCAGATCTAGTTAAGAGTTAGACCCCAGTATGAAACCCCCACACCCTGTGCCTGACCTCAGGAAGGTTACTAAGCCTCTTTAAGTTTCTTCATCTGTAAAATAGACAAAATAAATTTTGTGAGAAAAAAATGAGGCAAAATATGAAAAATGCTTATTGAGTCTTATAATCAAGAAGTGTTACTTAGGAGAACCAAGATGGCGGCATAGGTTAACGCAGGAGTTTGCTGCCTCAAACAAACACTTCAAAAGTGAAACTAAAAGACGGAACGGACATTCCCCAGACCCACAGGAACGCTGGCTGAGTGGAAGTCCTACAAGTAGGAGGAAAGAGTAACGCATACGGACACTCAGAGGAGGCGCAGTGCTGAAGTCAAATTCTGAGGTGCGGAGTGCGCGGAGCGGGCGGCGGCGGAGGGCGCGGTTGGCGTTTTCAATCGGGAGGGAGTCGCAGACTCTGAGCTCCAGATCCGGGCGAGTCGCCAGGAT